TCATTAAAATTTTGAAAAATGCCTCACCTGTAGTGCTTTTCAGCTTTTGTTGTTTATTTATTAACATATGGAAACAGAATCACCATAGTCCTCGAAATTTCAAAAGTTTGTTTCCCATCATGACAATTATTTCAATTTCTCGTTAATTTAGTAATTTATTACTCATTTTCTACGGCTCCACACAAAATACTGTAGGTCTGCACCTACCGATACTCCAAAAGCATACATGCGACATGGGCAAAAATACCACCATTCGTTCAGCTCATTTATATTATCTGTTTGGATCATCATTTATACATTTCACAGCAGAAATTGTGGAGATAGTCGCTCGAATGAATTAATGATCCAGCTTGAACTTGATAGTAGTTGGTAAAGTTCAGAAGAAACCTTTTACACCTATATGTAACTATAAATATTTACTAATTTCAAATCTTCTCCAATGTACTCCTTTTTTAAAAATTATAAAGATCAGTGGCTGTCTGGTCAGGGGGGAGTGGGAAATGTCGCCCGCACGCATTTGAGCTGTGGTCAGTTAATGTACCATGAGAATAGTGGACGTGGAGCTCGAAATCCGCCATGTTTTTGCGGACACTTTTGATTTGCGAGCACGATCTCCAGATATATATAGTAGAGCTCAGTGTATATGACATGCAACAAAAAATTAGTTAGGCCAGCAATTTGGCCCGCGGCCCGCAATTGTTTTAACCCGCAGCCCGTAAAACCTGACCCGCAGCCCGCAAAATAGCTAGACCCACTGTGAGACAGGCATAGGCACACTGCAATAAATTTTGACTCAAAACTTTAGTAAAATAATGCACCCATAATGACTCAAAATCAGGGCCGTAGCGAAGGGGGGTATTGGGGGGTGGTTAATAACCCCCTCAACTTTTTTAAATTAACATATTCGGAAAATCAGGTTGGTCATTCGGAAAATTACGGCAGTAATAGTATAACAAAATTTTAGTTGTTTAATTAAACGGAGAAAATATTATAAAATTATATTGTCAGCATCATAAACTGATTTACAAAATCACGACATTTACATGGATAACATTTAACAAATCGTAGATCGGTAAATGTTTTTCGGTTTATTACTTCCCAGGGCCGTAGGTTGGGGGGGGGGGAGGAGGGGGCAGCCCTCAATATATCTTTAAAATACTGACAATTGATTGATTTTAATGATGACAAACCGCAAAGATGACAAACCACAAAGAATCATATTACCCATATACGCCTTCGCCCATTTAGTTCTTCTAAATTGTAAGCAAACTAATTGTAAATTTCGACGTGCTAAAACTCTGTTTTCTGACCATCAGAATTCTGTCAAAACTTCCCCCAAAGTCCACGAAATGGCATTTCAGAGACTCTAAATTTAAAAATTTCCTCGG